GTGAGACTGAACTATTAAACACCGTCGGATTGAGATCGGATAAGAAATATGTATTGTCTTATACCGTTTATGATCAATTGTACACATGTACATAGCGATAATAAGCGTACGAAATGCGTGGAAAAATGTCGCATCGAAATTTGCAAAATTTTATAAAACCGGCTATATTCTTAAAGTATTATTAAATTAATATTTACAGCGTTGGTAAATATTCGTGTCAGTTTCCAATTAATGGAATAGATAATGAATATTGTCTAAATCATTACGTGAACTTTTGCCAACGTGACCGCGAGAAGAAGGGGAATTTTTAAAAAGAAATATCAAATTTTAGTCGGTTGCCAATATATTGTTCTGTTGGAATAAATATTAGATTAGGTGACTGTCTGCTCGTTCTTTTTATAGCAAAATAAATTCGAATTTTTTCAGACCAGGAGTTCGTTGCCCTTTAAATATCGGAAGTTTCGATCAAATTTTCACCACGAGCTAGAAATTTATTTAACCATTTGCGAACACGCTTTTGGAATTATTTGAGCTAAAAAAAATATTTTCCGTGCGTGCCGTGCGGGATTATTCGGAAAATTTGTCGCGATATTTGCTGATCGAGAAATGCCGATAATAAACGTATAATATCGATTGTCGAATAGAACGTACCGTTTTGTATTAATAACAACGAAAGTTTAAACTTGCTTTTTCTCGTAATTACAAATACCTATATATAGACGTTACCATATATAACAGGGTTAATCCCAAATAGGGTTAGGCAATATAATAGCTTCTCGACTAAACCTTGCCCTATTGTCTGCGTTATTGTAACTCGTACTATATATATAACGAAAACAAAGTAATAACATTATACGAGCATTTAACGACCTGCATTATATTTTATTACAGTGCATAGCAATCCCTTTTACGATTCGAAAATACGAATTTTTAGCACGCCAACATATTTTCAATTAATTCGCGGTAATCCTGGAATTTAATTTAATTATCCATCGGTAACACCGCGAATTATATAAATATTTACGGAAAAGCACTGGAAATATCGCACACCGTTCAAATATTCGAATAAATTGTATTTTATACCGCTATTTCGTTACATGTACGTAAATGGAATTACGATATTCCTAAATCCGTAAAGAAAATAATTCCAAATTTCGTACACTGCTATTCCATCGCAAACCAAGTACACGAACAATAGAAATTACCTTTCTCTTCGTCGAGACCTGCCTAAACCCCCGAAAAAGTAATTCATTCCGAAGCCGTTATAATTGCCAACAAAATAAGAAATTGATATTAAATCCCAGGAAAAAACTGATTAATTTTTTAAAATATGCGATAATTCCAGGCTTTTTGTACTATTCTAACGCGAATTAAACACGGGTACATAAGAAATCGGTGTTTTCGAAAGATTCAAACGGAGTAAGAAACGAAGAGCCTCGCTAACCCCGAAGAAACGAATTAATTGAAAAGACGTGGAAATTCGGGAGGAAAAGAAAAGAAGATGGGAAAACACGAGCTACGCGTACGAAACATAATCAGATTTCGGTTGTAAAGGAAAAGGACCAGCCCCGGTTCCGAGCAGCCAATCATCGGAAACAAAAGACCTACACGAGGTCCTGCTGACCAACACCCTTGAAATCCACGCGCACCCTTTAAACTACCCATCGAAGCATATCATCCTGCCTGCGAATGTTGAGCCGAAGAACCTGCATACCCCGTGAAAGGAACGATTTACCTCCTGCTCATCGAGGAAAATCCTCGGATCTACCGGGAGCCTCGATTACAAATCCCTGCGGCGACCTCGGGCACGTCGGAAAGGAGGCAGAAAACTACCCCAGAGGCAGGCAGAGGCAGTGAAAAGTAGCCGGTCACTCGCACCGAGAGGTTAGCATGAAGTACAGGTGAGCGAGGCAGGTGTACTCCCTGGAAGGCAGCGATATTTAGGGCACGGAGCACGGGTCCGAAAGTGGTAGGTAGCAAAGTGCCTCCCCCCAGGTAGCCAGGAATCTCTCGTAGGTACCCGGCGTACTAATCGTGCACGGCAAACACTCGAAACAGAAGAAGCGTGGTCCTCGGCTCGGAGAAGACACACGCGCGTATAGGTGTACGCGTACTTAGGCGTAGAATCGGCGAAACGCGTTCGACGGCTGGCCGGAAGGACGGCGTGTGGTGGAGAAGCAAAAGGTTGAACAGGACAAGAGAGGAGAGGGAGGGTCCGATGGGCTGGTACCCACCCAGTTGGAGGTGGCACAAGGAGGTGGGACTCTTCGCCTCGTTCTCCACTTTCAGTGGCAAGTCCGAAGAGGCAGTCACAACGCGACTGCTCTAAGAGCCAGGCCGCCCGCCGCCACTCGACCGCACACCTGTGTGCCACCGTGCACCTACGCGCACACACCTGTCCGTGTCTCACGCTCACACCGACGCCCGAGGTCGACAGTCGACGCGCCGCGTCCACCACCTGCGGAATTCCACGCGTGCGACGCGATTCGACCACGCGTCCGCGACTCGCGATCCACCAGCTATCCCGCCGGTCAATCCTAGATCGCGAGCGTGTGGCTCCGAGGACACGCCGCGGCTCCCGAAATCTGCCTGGATCTTCCTGCCACTGGGTGCATCCACCGTCGAGCGCGGACATGTCTCTGGTGACGCGTGTTCCTCGCGTAACAGCTGTCGAGTTGCACGTGCACCGCGGAGGCCGACGCGACTCGCGCGGGCCAGCGAGCTGAGAGCAGCGGCCACCCGTGATATTTATCGAGGGTTTCAGGTGAAAATCGGCGATCAGTGATTAGTGGACATGCTGAGGGATATCGAGCAGCGGCGTTTCGAATCGCGTGTGCGGAAAGACGAAAGATAGTGGTGGCCTGTATCGAAATCTCGGATTCCGGGATCAGCGTGTGCTCGCTCGCGCCGGAAGTGCAGTACGCGATACAGAGACGTCTCTGCCAAGTTGTTTGCTCTTGCGGGTAAGTTTTCAACGAATCGATGAGCGGCTGGTATGGCTGGTTACGTGATTTAACGTGTCTCCCTGTCGCGGGCCTGGCCTTTTCGTTTCCCATTTTTCCAGCAACCTTGCGAATACTGCTACCCACAGTGCGTTAATCGGAATTCGCCTAGCGTTAACGCGATGTGCAATTACGAGTTCGGATTACCGTACCGGCGAGTTTGTGTCCCGTTCGTGTGATCGCGAGCAATGTTACGTGGCTCTGAATCATTCGCGGATCATTCGCAAATGTTCTGATATTCGCAACCCTGAGAGCGGTGTAGCCTCACCGGCAGTGTCTTGGCGAAAATTCACGAAAATATGGCGATCAAGGGTACAGAGATTGCCACGTTATTGGTATACGTTGATCGTTCTACGAAATTCAATGAACCTGCTATATTTCTTAACACTCTGTGCGATCATTCTGCCAATATAAGTACAATCGATCTAACATCTCCGATTATTTCTTAAAATTTCTTCATCCACCGGTTGTGCACCGGTTCATCCACCATTTCACCGTCGTAGAATTAAATTAACAAAGTTTGGCATAAACGAAATTTAAACGATCCGCTAAATACGTTTCTTAAACCGAGTTTCTTCGTGTCTTCTCAGTCAGCGAAAATTCGAGGAAATTTGACTAACAATGTGCGCTATCGTCGCAATATTTTCCACGCAAAATCGAACGTGTATAAAAGAAAATTAAAAACATCGTCGGATTAACCCGTTAGTGGGACGTAGGAGATATGATACAACGCGTACCAGTCGCCCGAATCAATTTCACGGGGAAAGACCGGGGAAAGAACGGCGAAAGAGGCAAAGGGAAGCTGGCAGTTTATCTTCTTAGAAAATCGACAAGACGTAAGAGTATTTGGCGGCGGCGTGTACACACGCACACGAACGCGGGCATAAGGGAGGCGTAAACGTGTGCGGGCGAAGACGGAAACTATCTACAGTTCTTACCTTGCTATGGTGTCCCGTTGCGATCCGAGATCCTTCGAAAGGTCCTGAACTTGGAATTCACCCTCTTAGTGCCACCTCCGTCGGCGGCCTTGACTCCTCGTCGCTCGCCTTTCGTCGTCCTCGAAATCTTTGCAACACCTGCTTTGTATTTATCGTCCCCCATCCGCGATCGATCCGCCAACTTCATATTTCGACTTTCCACCTCCGCGATACGCCGCGTCTCGATCGCGTTCCTCGCCGCACTCTCCTGCGACGCAACGCCGCAGGTCCGCTGATCCGAGTGTATATGCGAAAATTCGGCCATCTCTCCTGTAACCGAAAATGTAACGGCGATTAACCTCGATCGACTCTGGGAATAAGTAAAAAGAGGAAAGAGAAAAGAAAAGAAAGAACGCGTAAGAGTTGACGGATAGTGGCGGTACGATCGCTGGAAACTACCAAGAAAACATACTCGGGGCATGCTCGCGTTTGCAAAGAGGCAAAAAGCAGAGGCGTCGGAGTAGAGCGGGACGCGATGGTCGCGTGGAATCCCTCGTGTGCATGTCGAACTTTTCTTATCGGTTGCATCGGCTCGCGGATGAGCGCGTAGATTCGTGCTAGCCAGCGGAGAACAGAGGCAAAGCGGTGTGTGGGCCGAGCGCGCGGGCGGGGCGGGGGAGGGGAGGCGAGTTAGGGCAACAAGAAGGAGCGCGTCTCGCATGGAACAGTAGATTTCGCCGAAGTAGAAAGGAAGGAAAGGGGTAGTTGGCGGTCCGCGAATGTTGGTTGGAGCGGCAGGACACACGCCAGGGGTGGCGAGAGGTGGTGGTAGGTTTGCGCGCGGGGCGGTAAAGTGACGAAGAGGAGAAAGCATATCGGGAAGGGGTTGGCGGAAGAAAGGGGGAGGCGGCCGGTAAGAGAGAGGGAGGTTGGTTAGTTAGTGTGCGAGCAAGTGAGCGGCGGCGTGTATCGTGCGGGAAAAGAGAGACGACGTTGTCGTGCGGGAGGGAGGGAGAGGTTTAAGGAGCGGGAGGGGCGGGGATCTTAGGAGGGGCGCCTAACGTCACGGCGCATTCACTCACCGGCCGTCGCCGACGCCGCTGTGCCGCACACGCAACCCACACGATACGGTCAGTTTTCTCATAACATTTCTTCGGTGACGCACGATTTTTCGTTTAAACGTTTCCCATCCCTTGCGCGATTTTCCCCTCGAAAATCCGGCACTCGTCGCTCGCTGTCGAGTGATCGCATGGTGTACGACCGAGTATTTCGCGCGAGAAACAACGGTACCCGATCAACAGTGACCAACCGAGTGATACGGTAACACGCGGGTGTCACGCGTACTAAAGGCGATCGTATATACCGACCAACATGTTTGTGCTCTTACCGAGAAGACGATGGGTGACAGTGAGGAATCAGCTGATCGTTTAGGGGCGCCACGCTCTCTTATACTCTCTCGCGCGCGCTTTCCGTCTGTCTGTCTCTCTCTCTCTCTCTTTCTCTCTCTCTCTCTCTCTCTCTCTCTCTCTCTCTCTCTCTCTCTCTCTCTCTCTCTCTCTATCTCTATCTGTGCCTGTCTGTGTGTGTCTCTTTCTCTCTCGCTCTTTCCTTACCTCTTCTTGACTCCTCGCAGGAGACTCCTCTTCCTCTGACGTAACACATAACCGCACACGGCAACACCACGCGGTCCGCCGGCTGTGTTTGATTTTCCCGCCAACGAAACGTCCGCGCTCGAAGCAAATACGCGCTTCCCGGGCCAGCCAGTTACGAGTGTAAGTTACCTTTCGTCGTATCTGGAGCTTCGAATGTCGAGATCGTTCCACTCTGTTCGTAAACGACGATACAGTGCGAGAAAGATTTGCTCGGATCGTGTAACGGATGGTGAAGCAACCTGGCGAGAACTTCCGACTCGATGACACCCGGTTATCCGAAGATCCAGTGCCATGTGTGGTTATTTTCTTGTTAACATCGTCGCTTTCGGTGTGAAAATGGACTGTGTATATTATTCCAGTAGGTGAAATGTTCATGGGAAACGTGAAACAGATCGATCGGTGAATCGACTTCGTAACCGTTGGAACACACCGCGTCACGTCAAAACACTCGAGTGTCCCTCTAGCCGACAAACAGATCAAGATTCGAGGTAACCAATTGTTCGTCCAGATGACGTTTCATTCGCCCAGTTGGTTCGTGTTTCGTGTTTCTTCGTTCAGCGAAGACAAAGAAAGGAAAAAGGCTGATTGAAAACAAACCTCGCATGTACATGAAACAAAAACGTAAACGAAGACTCTCTTCTCGATATCGTTCATCCTTCTTATTTCTTCTTCTCGTTTTCGTCTCGTCTTCGTCCCGTTCGCGAACGCGTTATCTCACGCGACGAAATTAAGATTCGTTCGGCCGAATCATTCGGGGTACGTTGCTTTCGTCCATGTTTAATCTTGACGCGAACACCGCTCGAAGCGAGTGCGACATGTATACCGAAACGCGAGAAGGAAAAAAGAGACAGAGCGATAACACGAGGCATAGGTATCCGGAGACATCGTAAATTTTTACTTTTTCTGAACACGTGCGAGTTTGACAACAAACTTGCGGTGAGTTTTCGACAGGCGCACAGTGACGTACCGCGGTTTCGCGAAGCCTACGAGATCCGTTTGACTCGAAGCAAACGAAACTCGAGCAATTTCCCACTTTGCTGTACCTTTTTCCCTCCAACTACCGACCAGCGTGTATGAATAATGCACAGCTTGAAATTCGAACAAGTTTCGGTGTCTAAATGTTCCGCCGTTTTCCACGATCATCGACGAATATTCCAAGTCGCGACATTCCGATTCGATCGGCGTTCCTTGTTATCGTTCCCGCGATCACTGTTCCCTCGTCAACTACGACTTCCATGCTTCGTTTCGCATTAACCGTAAAAATTCGTATACGTTGACGGATTAATTTTTCTTTGATTCGCGAACTTCACTGCACTGCACGATACACTTCGATTCGAGAGGAATTCCACGTGTCACAAAGTTTAACCGACGAGTCTACTTAAAAGAAGTGTATATCTATATCTATACATCTCGGAAGAGACGAAGTCTGTCTATACCGCGTTCGAACTAAGAGTCGTTCGTGTTCGTTAATATGTGTTTCATGCTCTACGTTCTACCCGTTTCTATAAAACTGGTGAAAAATGTATTTTCTTTTAAATCGTGTATACGAACAAATTTTTACGATTTTCTGTTCGAATTATGAGATTGTTCGATAGTTCGAATTATTAGATTATTTCAATATCCGAAATTTAAAATATTTTGCATTAACTTCGTGCGAGGGCTGTGATTGGCTATCGAATTGCCAACGTATTAACGTATTAACCTATCCCGAAACGTGTTGCTACAATCTTGATTCTCTTGTCACATGCTTCTTACGTATATACACCTTTTCAACTGGAATAGAACGGTGATTTTCGTATATGGGGTAAAACCAATTATTTCGTCATTTTTGCACGTTATTTATACGATACATTGCATTGAAATAATCGAATAGTCTTTGTCGTAGAATATTTTTTAATAAAATTTCCCGATAAAAGTTCCATTATTCGTGTAATATGTAGCGATTATAATTCTCAAACAATAATTCGTCGCTCTAGCAATTCGTCATTAAAAATAGATCTATTTTGCAAGTTCTTTTTTATCCTGTTACGTCTCGTTTTATTGTTACCCTACTCTAGAGAGTAATAAAGATAAATAGAACCGATATAGTGGCCGTACACGAAAGTCACGAGAATAAGTTTCCACGATTATTCGTTGGAATAATTTTAATTGATACGCGTAGATTAGCCGCGGGATTGAATCGAAATCGACGTTTCCTATATGCAAATGATCCCATGTAAAATTGCAGATTCGAGTAATTTTCGTTGACCGACTAATAAATCAACGTATATGAAATCTATAAATCTCCTTCTCTTCGGATAATAATGTTCAGAACATCATGATATACCTGCACTGGAGCTTCTCTAGAAAATTACATGCATTATAGCTAAATCGCCGCCCGATTGAATTTAATTCGTCGATAGTTAACGTTTTCCTTTTGCGTTCTGCTGAAAACCCTTTATATCAAACGTAATAAGTTTTGCATTCGTGAAACATTGTTGCTGCTGCCTATAAATCTCGCGGTTAAATTCTCTGCAACGATGTTTCGGGGACCGATAATTTTGCTCTTGATCGACGATGTGGTGAAGTATGGAAAAGAAGTGAATAACGACTGGTGAAATTGTGCACGAAATTTCAGCCATTTTCGATTGCCGGTTCGTGATCTATAGCGTTTGGCTCGAATCTTTCAGATTTTATTTGCTACTTCCTGTTTGGGATTATTATACAAGTAAATTCGCAGAAAAATATAATATCGCGTGCTTGAATATCCTGTGCGAAAATATCCCTTCCTAGTTAAAATTATAGAAAATATAATATACCGTTCGTAATAATTCGTTCGTTATTTATTTATTTATTTATTTAATATATCGAGAAATTAGAAAATTTCTCCGAAAATCGTAAATATTCCAGTTTTAATAATCACAATCTGGAATAAAAGAGTAACATTTTGATTGTCCAATTTAAAAATTATATTTTATTTATCGGATTTGGTGGTAGTTAATATCTAATTACTCGTTTAACATGGCGGAAATGATTTTTGCGTGGTGCACAGCATGACGGAATGACCGAATGAGCAATTAATGTCGTGGTCTGATCATAAACCTGGAAGACCGGATGTCGGTGACGAAATTTCGATTCCTATAAGTGAAATTGATATTCGTAATTTGTTTATAATATCGTTGCTTTTTCGGAGAACGCTGCTATTTATCGATTACGTATTTACTGATATGAACTGTAGGAAAATCGAAATGGACCTGTTATATTTAGGCGCACTTGATTTTGTGCTTCCTGGCACACGAAAGTGCTATTTGAGCAGGAGAAATCTCACACGGTAAATTTTTGTGTTGAGGTCGATATAAATTCAGAAGGCAATAAGTTCGAAATGGATTAATGCCAATTAATATTATATCGTTATGGAGCGACAAGAACGCGGCATTAAATATTCACCATGTTTTTCCACGAATTTCATGATAGCGAACATGGCATTAATACGTATACTCAATGACTATGCATTTGAACGTATTAAAACATTCATATATTCGGAAATTTCTCATTTCAAATTCCTTCAAATTTATCACCTTGATTACATAAATTCTTGCCCGGATAGAATAGCTTTAAATGATATTTATGAACTAATTTGCCATTTATGGAAGAAATGAATAAGTCAGAGAAGACTTTAAGACGCCCAAATATAAAAGTCGAATATTCATATTTAATTATCGCCGATATTATATCATTTGTTAATTAAATATCGCGATGAAAGCTTACAATCGGTTAGACCCTCTTTTTCTATAGTCGCACAAGTTTCCATGAACCAAACATTATGATTATTTACTAATATCAATCGGGAATCCCTTCTTCATTCTCTTCCCATGATTTCGTATTTTGCAACTGATTTTCTATATTCTCTCTTAATCTAATTTTTCGAATTTCTTTATTTTCTATCTGTGTCAAGTAAGTTTCCAAACCTCTAACCTTAATGATCAACGATAAAATCATTTTGACGAAACAATAATTTTCAATTCCTTATTTCTAACTAACACGTACTCTCGTGCGAGTTCCAAGTCTACAACCCCGATAAGCAAAAACAGAATCCTCCTGGTAAAACAACTTTTAATTACTAGCAATCATGTCTCCTTCTAAAACTACCAAATCTTCAACACTAATAACGTAAAACCTAAATCATTCTATTACAACACAGATTTGCAATCCTACAAAACATTGTCCTTTCTCTTCACACTTGCAAATCAAAATTAAAAGTATTGTAACACATCACGACAACCTTCCCCTTCAATAATCAAAAAACACCGATCCTCGATCCCCACTAATCGTGTCTCTCCACTTCTTTCACTTCTCAAACGTCCAAACCGAGATCATTCCAACGACGATCTTCAATTCCAACGACCAGAGATAAACTTCTCCAGCCTGGAAACAACGATCTTCAACTCCGCGAATCGTGTCTCTGCATTTTTCCTCAGCCTTGATCTCCCAGACCTCGAAGCCCAAAAGGCAAAACCAAGATCGCAACGAATCGCGACGACGTTCAGCCCCCACGGGGACTCGTGTCACCATTGCCGATTTGGCAGCAGCAGCGCAAGAACCCTCGTGGTCCCCACTGACATCGGCGTTCGCCATTTGGTTTTTCAGGAGAACAGCGCCGTTCAAGATAGTGTCGAGGGGGTGGCATTGTTCACGATACGTGCGTGGCCGCGTGCGTGCGTGCATGGAAGAGAAAAACGAGCGCAGGACCCCGAGGTACGAAGGAGAACGAGGCGGAGCAAGGTGGCTCCGCTAACGGCACGAGCGGCGGTGAAAAAATGTCGAGCGCCGCGGACAGTCCTGATGGGATGGCTTTGCAGTCGCACTACTCCTTACGATGGAACAATCACCAGACGCACATACTACAGGCCTTCGAGGCGTTGCTGCACGCGGAGATACTCGTCGACGTGACCCTGGTCTGCGCCGAGACGAGCCTCAGGGCGCACAAGGTCGTCCTTAGTGCCTGCAGGTAAGACAGTTCTTTAGAAATCAGGATCAATCGAAGGATCCTTCGTTTCACACGTCGCCTACTCACCTACGTCCTCGTGTTCTCTTCGAGAACGATTTACTCGTTGGGATTGCTCGTTGGGGCTCATCGGGATTAGTTCCAATTTTTACTGTTTGGTAGTTTCCCAAGGGTGCAACTGCTGGCCTGTAATATGGATTATGATTGAAGTTGTATCATAAGAGCAGAGGAATGAGTGTATATGAGAATGAGTATTTAGTCACCTTGGTCAATTTTGTCGAAAGCTGTAGGTTTTTGGAGCTTGTTGGAATACTAGGTGTGTGGTACTGCTAACCTGTAACATGGATTATGATTGAAGTTGTATCATAAGAGCAGAGGAATGAGTGAATATGAGAGTGAGTATTTGATCACCTTGGTCAATTTTGTCGAAAGCTGTAGGTTTTGGAGTTTGTTGGAGTACTAGGTATATGGTGCTGCTGATCTGTAACATGGATTATAATTGAAGTTGTATCATAAGAGCAGAGGAATGAGTGTATATGAGAATGAGTATTTAGTCATCTTGGTCAATTTTGTTGAAAGCTGTAGGTTTTTGGAGTTTGTTGAAGTACTAGCTGTGTGGTACTCGTCGTGTCAACAGATTTGGTAGTCCTGGTGTTCAATTTTGGATAACTATTCGTGAAGACTTTCTGAAACAAAGTGTTTTTGTAATATCAGTACTGGCTATCCATAATGGTGGTAACTTAAATAGATAGGTTATAGCTAATGAAATAGATAATTAAATAGGTAGGTGTATAGTTGCATTAATTTTGGTTACTCTTTCATTTCTCCTTCTTGATAATTACTTTTGATAATCATAGACGAGTTCAGAATCGATCATGTGTACTTCATATGCTTTACTATGACTTTTTTGGACAATGCTACTGGGCACATATTGACAATTAATAAACAGAAAACATTCGTTCCTTGGAGCAATAGCGATTCGTCAATGTTTAGAAAAGTGCAGAGAAATGTATAAACGTTGTCACGAATATGCTTCGCGTATCTAACCTAATACTCTTGCTGCTTCTCGAGCAATTTTTATTTCATTCTTCTACGCCTGAGTCGTGACAGACTTTGGATGAGATAAATTATCGCAGAAAATATCCAGCACGTATTTAGAAAATAATAATTTATATTATAGACATCTTTGAATCAATTACTCCACTTTTTCCATATTTCTTTGTCAGTTTAACCATTGGAAATCGTTAATTAATTATTTTTTTTCCAATGCTCCTATATATATTCAGAGATCAGCTAAAAATTTGGAGAAAGATTAAATTGGAATTGAATAATTTCAAATGAATAAATTAAAGGATCTATATTATATTTTATTACAGCACATGGCAATCTCTATTTTACGATTCCAAAATGATTCCAAAAAATTTTTAACACGCTTTTCTACCAATGACTAGCATATTTTTAATTACTTCGCGATAATCGTCGAATTGGGAATTTAATTTCATTATCCTTCGGCAACACCGCGAATTTATAAATATTTACGAAAAAATACTGAAAATATTATTGAATATATTATTGAATAATTTGATCGGTTCTCGTAAGCAAATTAACGTCACGAATCCACAGAATGATTGCGTTCAGAAAATATTTCCAAGTTCGCAAATGGCGGTTAGAAACTTTTCGTTTCTTTCAATACGTAGGAAATTATTCTACCTTTTCCTTCCGCTGTAATATTTTATACCAGCGATCTCGCCGAGAGTCCTATAGTGATACAATTTGTACCAGCAGTTAAAGGGAAATAAGCTTACGATAATGGCATTTTAAAATGTTCCATTGTTAGTTTCCTAAACTTTTACGAGAACGTTTCTTAACTTAGACATATGTTCCTGCGTTTGAAACCCGAGCTATCCATTAGTACGCAAACAAGGATGAAACTAATTTTCTGCCATGATATATAATCGTTTCGCGAATTTTTGTTTGTTCCATATTCGAAGGAAAGACTGTGAAAAAATTCGATTTGCTGAATTTTTCTATTTTCCCGCAGTATTTCTCGTAGCCATAAAATTTTCGTTTAGGACGAGAATTAATCTACTATCCGGTAAGAAGAAATAAATTTTCTTGCTTTTGGTACTAATACCCGAAGAAATATTTTACTCTATAATTGAAGATAACTTCTTGGACCATTCTTTGAACTCGAGAATTGCTGAAGTTGAGAAATTACAAAATTGTGAATGTTGAAGAATGACAGGATTTCACTTTTTTCGTTTTCCTTTAGAGATTACAATAAAACCTATTGCTAAGTGATAATAAGGCAATAATGTTTCTTAGATTGCTGTTTACCGTGGTTCGAGACACATAGTGACTTCGTATTAGAAATAGAATACCTTTGATTTACACTTGCTTGTATACCTGTGCTAGCAGTCAATTATATCATAGCATGATTCATACGTCTGCTTATTTATGTAAACACTGTGGCATATGTTCAGCAAACAAAATTGACCAATCGCTGTTGCTCGAAGAAAATAATCCTTCTTCCCGATTAATTATCGGAATTTAATACGATATGATGAATGTAAATAATAAAGCACGTTCCTATAAATTCGAAAGTGAAATCGAAGTAACAATTATTCCTTTCTCGTCGTTACAAGAGTGTCTATAAATTCGATCAATAATTCTTCCAATTCGTTCACTAGTCGATGAATCATGTTCCTTTATATTGAAAACCATAAATCACTTATTCCATAAACTAACTTGGAAATATTTATATACACTTCTGGACGAAAACATAGCATAGATTAAGTATCATCTCGTTGAGTCCTCAAGGCTCGGTATAAAATTGAAGAATACTTTTAAGGAAGAGTCTACCTGGCAACGTCGTGTTTTGAAATATATAAAATCGAAATATTTTTCAGTTGGAAAACTAAAATATCGATAAAGAGATTATGCAATCAATATTGCATAAACTTTGTATTTAATTTAGAATAAGATTATAATGAATAATAGATGCCTATCTAGAGAAATGTCTTCCAATTCCAAAGAACTTCTTAATTGTCTATTTTCTCTGTAGACTGTTCGAATAAAATATCTCGAATAATTCTCTGTGATATTCAAATTAAAAGATCATACTGACCACTCAAAATAAGAAATATTTAAAAATAACATTTAATAACTTTTAATATATAAACTGTAATATTTTCTTGCTGCAAGATAGAATTAATGTCACTAATGTAGAACAAATAAGGCCAAGAAGGCATTGTATCTATGCTGTCTTTTTACTTAGTAGTGTATTTAATATCTTTCTTGATACTATCAGAATCTTGAAGATTCTTCGAGTTCTCTCTCAAACTTAACCAACCACCGAAAAAGAGTACTCGTCTCGTTTTATTTTTAATAATTCAGTAAAGTACTTGTCGTTTAAAGCCTCGTGGGAATTTTTAAATAAGTACTTGGATGATACTCGTCGAATTAAAAGCGATTCGAGCTTAGCTTCAAACTGTCCGACGGTCCACAGAGTCTAACATCAGTTAGTCGAAGATTCAAGAAGATTCGAGGAACTCTTAACGTTAGGATTACCAAATCAGTGAGAGTGACTAGTTCCAGATTGATTTTTCCCTTTTGAAAGCATGCAGCTGTTTCTAATAAAATTAACGTTGAATTTTATCCAAACGAAAGCGTCATTACGTGCGTTTAATTGTTCTCAATTCAATTTTGAAAATTAAGATACTAACGTTACTGAAATCAGCATGTCCAGATTGTCGACCAAGTGATATAACGTCCAAAAATCAGGAAAAATGATCTAGATCATTCCAATCTTCTCAGATGATCATTTCTTCTTGCTACCAACTTATGATCATCATTTGGCATTTTCCTATTCTTCGTCGACCAGTCGACATCTGCCAGTATTCATAAAAAGAAGTCGATTATTAACAATATAATGACAAAGTAATTATATGTACTTATTTATTTTCATCGTGCCATTTTACTCATCATTATATACGTACCTAAATAAGATCTAGGTATAGAATACAAGCTATTAGTTCTGGTATCAATCATCCAAGTGATATCACATTCAAAAATCAAGAAAAATAATCTACATCACTCCAATCTTCTCGGATAAACATTTCTTCTTGCTACCAACTTATGATCATCTTTCGGCATTTTCCTATTCTTCGTCGACTCATTCGGATATATCTGTCGATTTCTAAAAGAAAAACGGAATGAAATATCGCGATCGAACAATGCGATTTCTAAGAAAAAAGACTGCCCGATCTAACAATAAGATACATTCCTTGTTTCGAGATTCTCTGTTCGTTTGCTGGTGGTTCAGTCGGTGCAGTTGCATTCGACGCAACACGGCAATGCTCTTCTTGCCACGCGGAACGTATGACGTAAAGGCGACCACGAGCGAAAGTCTTGTCCAAGAATCGGTATCTATCGGTATGGAAACACGTTAATTCTCGTTGGAACTTTTTGTCCGTGGTTTCTATCGACGAATCGCTGATCGCTCCTCCATTTGCTGCTTGACCGAGACACGAGGAGCATGCGTTGGGTGTGACGTGCGGTTTTTCGCTCGATTTGGTAATTTCGAGGAATCGGTAACAAGTGGAAACACAGCTACGTATCTTCGTCGGGAATTCAACTTTCACGCGTATTTCCTTACAGGCTGTTTCCGTGACTGTTTGGTCCCTTTCTCGGATGCAGAGGAATTGATCTACCAATTTGGCAATTTCGTTAGATAGGTAATAATTCGAAATACTCTCAGCAGTTATAGTATCCAGCAATTAGTTACCTCGTTACTCCCTTTGCTTACTCGTGAAATCCAGAAGACTCCGAATGTTCTCTTCGTCTGTTCCATAAACCTACCGAATGAGTCAAAAGGTGGCATAGCCAGGGCCTGCTGTAACAGATAATGAAAATAAGTATCTTCATCGAGCAATTCGTACTTTTTCGAATTTTCCTTAGGTATATTTATCTCTGACAATGAGAAACCAAGTTCCTTTGCTTCGTTGATAACCTTTCTAGCTTAAGGAATATTATAAAACAGGTGTGGTCAATAGCATGGCTGCTTCTTCTCGTTTGTCATCGGGCTAATGACCTGTTGAAGATGAAAGAATGACATTAGAAAGATAGAAACCACGATTAGATCGAGATATATCGGCCATTGCATAGTTACCAGGAAACGGAAACTGAATCTAGCGATTGTTTTAAAAAATCATCTTGCCGATGCAACTATCCTCTTCTAAAGGAACCTTCCGATCTCATCTATGGAACTTTTTAATATTAACACCGATATTAGATATGCTTCGTGTAAGATACGTCTACTCCTCGTTTATACATAAATCAAGAAACAATCGATCGTTTCGAACCGAAATGAAACACGAATATGCCACGAGGAATGTACACGTGCACTAAATCGGTTAAAAATTGATCGCAAGCTAGAGCAGTGGCAAGATAACCTATAAATAAGCCTATACGTCGTAGAATTTGCAATCTCCTTTTTAGACATCGTAAAGATTATGCATACTCGGTTCTCGTTTTAAGCAAGGGTCGCGTGTTTGATAATGGCGGAGTAAATCAGACATAATCGTCTTATAAGAAACAAAAGAGCCGGCAGACGTAAACGGGAACGATGGTATAGAACGCATACGTGTAGTACATTTTTGTCATTTTATTTCTCCATGCACACGATGCATGATCACCCTTAACAGACATAGAAGGGAACGTTTACGAGTGACACTGGTTCAAGAAAAATTCGTTTCGTACAATCATGAAAGAAATTTTATACGATCGTGACCGCGATGCAACCGCCATCTAGAAACTAATTATACAATTAAGATACACGGAGAACTCCGTGAGAACTCTATTGAGGGTTCTAGGAACTACGAATATCTCCGATAATACCAAACGTAACGCTCTTTGATTCTACGTTCTTGTTATTAGGGAAAAATTTTCGCGGATCATAGTGACAACGCGTGAACCGGTAGGAAATACAAAATGGCGGTAGCAAAAACGGTACCGATGTCGAGGGAACGCGATTCCGTGAAATTTACGCGCATTAACCGTCACGTTTTATCGTCCATGAACAAATTCCCGTTCGTTCGAATGATTTATCAGCCGCAGATACCACGGAGGAAAGATCGGATAACTACAACCTGTTTCACCGATCCTTCAACAGCCTGTCGCTACTTTTTCTAACTCGTGTGATAAGAAACTCGAAAGAAACGTTAACTACGCGATAATCTAAACTGGAAATAAACGGAGTCGTTTGAATTACAGTCCATTCTTCGAGAGGATATTCGCGGAGCACCCCTGCAAACATCCGGTGATCGTGCTGAAGGACTTTCCCGGCCACGAGGTAGCGGCGCTGATCGACTTCATGTACCGTGGCGAGGTGAGAGTCGGCCGAGAGGAGCTTCCAGGACTGATGAGGGCCGCGGAGAGCCTGCAGGTGCGTGGACTAGCGTCGTCGGAGCCCAGGCCGACGTCGCCGCCGGAAACGCCGACCGCGGACCTTCTCCTCGGCGAGCCGTCGACGCCCGAGGGCGCCAGACAAGGCACCCCCGAGGAGGATGACAACGCGTCGGAGAGCACGGCGCCACCATCGACGCGGGAACCAGCGCCGGTGACCACACCGACCATTTTTCATCCTGCGAGGGACCATCGCGATAGGTTACCGCACATGGGCCACTTGAACTTTGGGATGCGCGAGTTGCGAGAGAGTTGCGGATCGCCGCTGTTACCCCGGCGAAAACAGGCCCGGCCGCGAAGGAGATCCGGCGAGCTGGTGCCGCAGGACCTCAGTCGACCTCATCCACCGGCGAGTCTGAGTCCGCCGGTGAGCGGTCTGAATCTGACCGGTGGGCACCAACAGCCGCAGCAGCTGCAACAGCAGCAGCAGCAGCACCAGCAGCAACAACATCATCAGCAACAGCAACAACAGTCCTCGACGAGCTCGCAGAACCAGCAACAACTGGAGGACATGGCGGAGAATCTCTCGATGAAGAGATCCGTGTCGCCGAGTGGAGCGGAGCAACATCACGTGAAGGCGGAGAGCAGCGAAGCGGCGAGTAGTCCCAGGGGATCACCGTTAACCGGCACGAGTCTGCTGCACCCTGACGGTTCCCTCCAAGATATTCCGTCTGCTGCGGCAGCAGCGGCGGCGGCGGCGGCCGCGGCAGGCCTGCCAACGATGTCGGCTCTGTCGTTGACGCCGCCGCATCACCACAGCGAGTACCTGACGAGTCTGGGCCAGCTGGCGGCCCAGTGGTTGCCGAATCATCCGCAGAGCCAACTGCCACCTCCGCCTCAGGGTCACCATCCGCGAGAGAGCAGTCCGCACCGGTCCAATCGAACGCATCCGTATCAACAGCAGCAACAGCAACAGCAACAGCAAGAATCCCCGTTGACGCCGCGACGAAGCTCCGTGACGGCCATGTTCCCGTTAGACGGCGTCGCGTCGCTAGGTGGCGGGCTGTTCCCACACGCCGGTGCTCTCGACAGGGGATCCCTATTGGCGGATCTGCACGATAGCTTTAAACCGGAAACGCTGCACGGGTTGTTCGGCGCGGCGGGTCTCGGCGGTCATCATCCGGGGAAAAAGCCAAAGAAACACAGGGGCGACGGCGAGGCGCCGCGAAGATGGGGTGACCACGGTAGCCGAGGTCTGCCGGTCGGCAGGCCGAAAGGTCAGCACAGCGCGCCCAGGGGAGGACCACCTAGGTCTTGGACAAACGCGGAGCTGACCGAGGCGCTGCAGCACGTGTGGAACAAGAAGATGACCACGTCGCAGGCTAGCAGGATCTTCGGGATACCGTACAACAGTCTGCTCATGTACGTGCGCGGGAAATACGGGAAAAGTTTGAAACTGGAACAACTGAGAAGGGACTGCACCGGCGCGACGACGGGCGAGGTAGTGATGAATTCGCTGAACAACAACGTGAAGGCCGTCCAGCCGCCTACGCAGATGACTCATCCGTTGGCAGGTCTGCCGCCTCATCCCGGCGACGACGGTGGATTTCCTCATCACTCGTTGCTCGGTGGTAACCTACCGCAGGGCTTCTTCCCCGACTTCGCCGCCGCGGCGTTCCCGGTGCCGGTTAGTATGGTGCATTTACTTCCGCCGAGCGAACAGAAGGCTTTCGAACCACCCGCGAATCCTGGCGGCGGTGGTGGCGGCGGTGGCGGCGGAGGCGGTGGCAGTGGCGGCGATCTCTCCACCTCACGGAGCAGTCGAACGCCTTCGCCGGTCGACCATCATCATCATCATCACGAGTCGCTGCAGCCGCAACCGCCTCAGTCGGCGCCCGCGCTACTCCAACAAAATGGTTCGGATTAGAAGAGAATGTTTTACGCGTGATATCATAGGTATGCGCGGTCATACACCGATCATCGTGTTCGTTGAAGGACCACGGACCCGTACGTGTCCGACACGAACTCAACCATTCTCCTTTTAACGACTTATCGACACACGCACACGAGACACGGTCTATACGTCATAACGGAACAGAACCACGCGCCGCGTGCCCCCGATTTTTCCGCCAAATTCTTCTCTTCTCGCAAGACTGACTATATCATCACCACCACCGTTTACAGCTCCCGGGGTAAGCTCGACGGACGTTCCGCCCTGCTCGGTCCACCGCTTTAGCCAACAACACCACCACCACCACCACCACCACCACCACCACCACCACCACCACCGTTACCATTGCTGTGTCACCACGCCATCCTCTCCGATTCTTCCTGTATTTTCTACCTTTCGCCCGAAATGTCAGCAAAGATATCGGACGTCGCCTTCTCCCTTTGTCCGTCGATCGCGAAACGCCAGACTCGGTCGAGCGTGCCGGCGAAATTCTCTCCCTGAAAGAGAGAATACCCCGTCCCGTTTTCTCCTACGGCTCGTGTCTTCTTGGTTAAATTAGTGGCTCGTAACTAGTGGAGGCAGCTCGAGGGAAGAAGAGTCATCGACGCTGTCTTTTCCGGTGCTCGTTCCCCTGTCACGTGCTTTGGAAGAAGAACTTGACCGAAGAGCGTGATCCACTGCTCCGGCTGATATGGATGCAACAAGGTGCTTCGAAGCGGAGACTTTCGCTGGTGGGCGAGACACGCGACTTCTCGTATCATCACTATAAATAGTTCCTGCTACAAGAGCGATCATACCAAATAGTACTGTAAAAACGGCTGAGGATACGCAATGGCTACCGTACCGTTGGGATTAGGGAAATACCGTTGGAAAAGAAAGAAAAGGACTCGTAACGTAGATCCGCTGCTTCGAATCGCAGACCTCTCGCCGGGAAAGTGACGCGTGACGTTTGTGAAAGAGAGAGAGAGAGAGTGAGGGTGAGAGAGTGAGGGTGAGAGAGCGGGTGAGAAAGAGAGGGAGAGAAAGAGAGACGCTTTCTACGTACTTCGAAAACATCCTCGTGGCCTGTGATGTACATGAGGTAAGGTTACAAGACTTAAACGATAGTTTAATACGCAGATTGTTAAGATACTTGTTCTGACACGCGCTCGGAGGCAGCAGAGGCTGACGCGTTGAACGAATCGTTACTCGTTTGACAATCATACGTACCACTATGAACCCCCAATGACAATTGTTTTCCACTTATTCACCGATCTCTATTTTTGCGACATAGCTCTATATCTCTATCTAAACAATCGACCATCGTCACACAACCGTTGATCCACCGATAGATCTATTCGCTCGCGATCTCGCGATCCTTCGCGAAACCTTGACCAAGCATGCGTAGCATACCTCGTAACACAACTGTCCTTGCTGCCCCCCAGAAGCGCGTTGAAACGAGCTTCCAGTTTTCGACCATTACTTTACGCTACTCTAACGTTCTAACCGAGGATATATTACCGTTCAGTTCGGCAGATAGGATTCAGCATTCGAATGGATTTACGTCACTTTCGCGCTGAGCCGTTTGCGTTGGTCCCTATGATACAGGGCTGTGGACATCCCGCGAGAACCGTCCGCCCCGAGATCCAACGAATTCTTCGCCGATTCTCCGAATCGCGTCACGATCGCCACGCAATATGGCCGCGGTGGTAACGACCGATAGCGCGCAAGATGGCGCGAGCTTGCCAAGATTCTCTCTTTTTTCTCTCGCATGTATCATGGCTGCGAGTCGACCTGGTACGCGTTTCTCCCGGGAATCGGTGCAATATATCCCAGCGTGGGTACACGTTGATCTTGTAAATATTCGAGATACCATTTCCTCGATCGTTGGCAAAGCTTCGTCCTGTTCGCTGACACGCGCGCGCGTACACACACACACACACACACACACACACACACACACACACACACACACACACCAATTCTGTTTCTTCCAACCATCCTCATCGACGCGATATTTTTTTATCATCGAGACCCGACGACCCAGGGGCGCATCGGTCTCGCTTAGGGTCGTCGCTTAGGGTCGTCGCTTAGGGCACCGGGAGGGACCCTTGGGGTCCCGAATTCTCCGCGGAGGATTCTTCCTACCAGCGCCGCGAATTTTAACCCGTTTTAACCCCTTTTAACCCGTTCTAACCCGGTGGAAAGACGAAACCGTGCGCGTGTCTTTCCAACTGATCCCGTTCGATCCGTAAATCTTGGTGAGCTCCGAAACGCGAACCTGGAGGAACGTCGGACCGAACGAACGAGTCGTCGAGGGCTAGGGAAACGAGGACACGCGTTACACGATTGGGGAAAAAATGACAGGAGAGAGAGAGAGAGAGAGAAAGAGAGAGGGAAAAAAGAGGAACAAAGAGGAACAAAATTCGTATCGAAACACGGGACAAACGACGAAATTTTAATCGTAGACCACAATTTTCGCAAAAAAAAAAAAGAGATACAATATTTCGACAACCAGACGGAAGCGCAGGGTAACTAACACATCAGGGATAGCCACAGACAAATCTACGATAGATAAAGAGAAAAAAAAAAAAGCTAACGTATTAAACTGTAAAAGTAATGGGTAATGAAGAAAAAAAAAGAAAAAAAATAAGAGAGAAGTTAACGTAAAGCTATAATACATTTACGACGATTATTTCGTTAATGAATCTTATGAAAAACGAAAAAAAAAGAAAAAAAAAAGAAGAAATGTAACAGAGAGTGGCGAGGGAACGGCGGGATAATGAAAAAAAAGAAAAAAGAAAAAAAGATGGTTAATTCCGTTATTGTCACACCTTGCTACACCTAGCGAAAGCGAGATTAAATATATTATTAAAGAATAACTTAAGTAGAGTGTAATGGTGGGAGAGAAAGCGTATGGGTTCAACAAGGGGGTTTAAGTAAATATTAGAGAGACCACAGGCTTTCAGCCCCGAAAAATAGCCTGTACGATACAAACTGATATTATTATTGATTATTAATATTATATATATATATATATATTATATATATATACAGGGTGTTTCAAAAGAGTTTATAACTGCTTCGACGGGCTATACCGCGCGTTCAGCCTCGCATAACCTCAAAGGACGCTCTATACAAACCGCCATGCTCGTTCCACCTATTTTATTCGTTCGATTGATAAAACTATATGACCCATTGACAATAGCTTCCTTGGAACTAGCTCTGTCGCGATTTTTAATATCCCCTTCTTCCTTTCTTTTCAAACCGTGTCCGAATCTCCGTGTTTATTCCTACGCGTTGCTCATTCGTCTTTCAACGAGGAACGGTGGCGCGCCACTTTGACCAAGCGACAAACATTGTTAACGTTTCTATAGGGTGCAAAATGCGCGCCACGCCGTTGCGCATGCGCGATAATGGCCGGTTCAATTCGACGCGGACATGGGTGTGACGAGGGCTGCCGAGGCGGTATGACCACGTCGAAATTGGTTTTAACAATTTTTTATCCACTCTGTTGAGGAGAAGACGAGCGAGCAAACTGACGAAGTGCTAGCGAGAAATCTAGGGAATGCGTGCGAGAAAGCGAAGCCGCGACAGCGATGCAGGGGATGATACGATCGCTCTGGATCGCTGCGTTGTAATTGTATGTAACGATTATAAATGGTAACGGGAGAGAAAGGGAGAAAGAAAGAGTGAGAGAGAAAGAGAAAGAGGGGAGAGCAGGGAACGGTGAGAGAGAAAGGTGTGTGCGTATGATCGTGCGAGTGAGTACTGGAACGACTGCGAGAGACGAAGAGAGTGAGAAAAATAAGAGAAAAAAAGGAAGAGAGACTACGTAATAGACATATGTGATAGGCACCATGTGCAGACTTCAGTATTATTTTGCAGTTAAACTCGGGGGAAAAAGACGTAAAAACACAGGATCTGTATGTTAGTTAGGTTACTCATCGAGTAGGACGAGAGAGAGAGAGAGAGAGAGAGAGAGAGAGAGAGAGAGAGAGAGAGAGAGCGAGAGAGACAGACAGAGAGACAGAGGGAAAAAAGATAACAACTTAAGCCTGTTTCGTTGTTCGTAAGCCTTTAGGAAAATGAGAATACCTTCGACCGCCCCTGATCGCGAAACGTATGACATAACGCGTATTACGTTCGAGCGTGTCTCGTTGCCCCCACGAGAGAGACAGAGACGGAGATAGGGAGAATAGGTAGCGCGAGAGAGAGGAGGGATCGAGCCGAGAACGCGATCCGCGAACCCTTTGTTTTGATAGAAAACGTAAACGATCGGAGAGGACAAGTGAAAGGACAAGTGCGAGACGTGTATATACGCGAGGTGGAAGATGATCGCTGACGACGGAGTGTAATAGTTGCGCGCGCGAACGAGAGAGAAAGAGAGACTCGGAAGCTGCACGAGAAGAAAACGCTCGTGGTTCGTGGAGGCGCAGGACACGCAGAGACATCTGTTATCCGTCGCGTAGTCCGCACGCACGCGTCCATGCAGCCGCGTGAACGGTATCGAGAGGAAAATTTTTGTCATTGTCGCATATACAGGGTGTAAATAAGCGAGAGGTGAAACGGAAGAACGGGAGAAAAAAGCGTGACAAGGGACGCGTATCGATGGGTTACTTTATTACCGCGGAACATACGGATTATTATTGCGCATAGTACAAGTTAGTCGAATTGCTGATGGGGCACGAGAGACCGGTCGGTAAGGGTTAACCGATACTAATTATTGATTCGTTGTTAAAGATCATGGGTACGCACACGCGCACGGGGGTACGAGAGGGGGGATGAGAAAAAGACAAAAGAGGGAGAATGCAGGAGATCGCGAAAGGTTGTATTCGAATGGTGGGGAGCACAAATACCATCGGACGTTATGATTGTCGTTGTTATGCATAAACCGACACGATTATTAATTCTCTACGTGGATCGCTGTCATTATTGCTATTATTATTAATTATTATATTTATTACTATTGCTATTTTTATTATTATTATGACCATTATTATTATTATTATTACTATTATTTACGTTATAATCAACATTAACGCTACTATTAATATTACGCATTAGATAACTCGGATCGATCGGTAAAGATCGATTAGCCCGCGCCGTTTACGATCGCACCGAACAAGACGCGATCGCGACATATCATTAGCTCTATTACGATACTGTTAATTTTTAGTACGTTCGCTAACGCGTTTCCCGTGAACGTTTACACGCGTGACACGTCGGACATTTCTTCTGACACAAGTTCAGTTTTAATAGGGACCCGTAACGAAATGGCGTATCGAGAGAGGAAAGCGTTTCAAGGAATCCGTTGCTCGCTCGTTCCGTGGGCTTACAACGATG